TGGAATTTATGCCACATTTTTTCTGTCTGGGGTTCCTTTGTTAGTATGTCACACTCTATATTTTTCAGTATTTTTTTAAGGTTGACTGAAATCTACTTTCTTTTTTTTTGTTGTTTTTTTTTTGTTGTTGTTGTTGTTCAGAGCTGGAGGGAGAGAGAGGAAGAGAGAGAGAGAGAAACATCGACGTGAAGGGACACATCGAGTCGTTGCCACCCGCACGACCAACCAGGGCCGGGGACAAACTGCAACCGAGGTACATGCCCTTAGCGGGAACCGAACCCGGGTCTCTCTGTACCGCAGACTGACGCTCTAACCGCTGAGCCAAACCGGCCAGGGCGTGAAATCTACTTTCAATGATTATCCCTTTTTTCTCCTGGTCTTTACTTAAATGTAGATCTCCGATTGGGAAGTCGGATCATGTAAATGTCTTGTTCACTTGCATATATGCAGACATTCTGCTTTCTGTATTAATCTATGTATTGCTGTTATCTCAGGGTCTTGTAGCGCTAATACTTCCTTCGATTAGAAACCTCCTCAAGATCGGTGGTATTCCAGGGCACTCTTCCCGGAGGTACGTGGAAGAAAAATTGATAAATACTTTTTGATGATGACATATCATCGTGGTGGCACTACATTTTTTTCCTGGAGACTATATAATGTAAGTGTGGTTCTGACACTGCAGGCAGGGCCTCAGGTCAATCACTCAATGATCTCTAGGCATCTATCCAAGAAGGGCTGCCCAGCTTAGTCTTGGAGAGCGTATTCAGGTTCTCTCTCTCTCTGGCAGTTGCAGAACTTGTGTAAGTGTCAACTCGAATCCATCCTGGTGAAATCCCCATACTAAGAACAGATCGACCACATGTCCCAAACAGTGGGACGACTTGGTCATTCTTCTGACTTCGTGAAGACCCTTTGTTTAGTTGACTAGCTCCTTCTCCTACCCCAACTGTGACTTGGAACCTGACGAGGAGAAAGGCCCATTTGTTACTCTACTCCGCTTACAAATCTGTGTTTCGGGGAAATTATTCTGATGACTTGATGAACAGGGTCTCTGACACACAGCATCATGAACAAGATCCTCACTGGAAATAAGGGGGGGGGGGGAGATGCCACCTCAGCCTCAGAAAGCACAGTACAGTTTTGAAAGTATATTTTGCCAACAACCCAGAACTTTCCACCTGGGGTTTCGAAGTCAACAAGAACCAAAACATCAGCGTCTTTATTCTTTCCATTTTGCAGCTTTCAACATTCAGTGTGTTACTGTTTCACTGGCCCTGAAGTGGGTAATGTGAGCACTTTGATTAAGGACCTGAAAGATGGACCAGTTTCTCTCCAGCATCTTCCTTTAAGAACCTCTGGATTTTTCTATGAAATACAATTTGGTAAACAACTCTACCAAAGCACAACGCTGAAGAAGCAAGTTTGATGGGGAGAGTTCTGCCTGTTCTTTAAGGTCCTTTGAGGGGGAAATAAGTTAGCAAAGGAATTTCAGGAAACACATATACACACAGTAACTCCTTTAGTGAAGGCAGAAAGATTCAATGAAACACTGAAGACCATTTAATGAATGAGAACACAGTATCTGCTTTGGCATGATCCTTATTATTTTATTTATTTTTTATTGTTGACAGATCAGAGATGTCCCCCATGTTCCCCCTTTGCCTGCCTCCATCTAGCCCCGCCATCCTGCACCTCGCTACTGTCTGTGTCCATGGGCTCTGCGTATATGCAGATACGTTCTTTGGTTAAGTTCCTCCTGTCTCCCCCATGCCCCTGTCCTCTGAGATCTGTGGTCCTTCTTAAAGACTGTGTTAATACCTTTCTTGCTAAGTCGATACAACAGTCACAAGTTCAACATTGTACTCCAGCAGTAATTTGGGGGGGTGGATAGTGTCCCTGCAGAAGGTACGTTTTAAAGCCAGTTTTCAAAATTTCACAGTTAATGGGACTGTTTTTATAATGTTTCGTGATGATTATGTTACATGTCATCATACTCAAGATTTCAGGGCACCAACCTATAGACAACCACTGTGTGTTTTTAGAGTCATTACTTCTGTGCTTCAGTTAAGTCATGCCCGTGCGTTAGTGGTGATTCTTGCCCTGGCTGGTTTGGCTCAGTGATTAGAGCATCGGCCTACGGTCCGGAGAGACCCGGGTTCAGTTCCCGCTAAGGGCAGGTACCTCGGTTGCAGTTTGTCCCTGGCCCTGGTTGGGTGGTGTGGGTGGCAACCACTTGATGTGTCCCTTTCACATCGATGTTTCTCTCTCTCTCTCTCCTTCCCACTCTATCTGAACAAAAAATAAAAAAGTGTCCTCGGGTGAGGATAAAAAGAAAAAAAAAAAGAGGTGATACCTTCACACATGTCACATAGGTTAGGTGGTGAACAAAGCAAACTGTTCTCCGTACAATTGTGTCTGTGTCATTCTCTCTGGGCTGATCTGTTTTTGGTTAGTGTGGCATTATACCATTCAGACATGCGTGTTGTCTTATGCAAACCTTGGTGTAGATTTCTACTTGACATTGAGAAAGATGTGACAAGTGGCAAAGATTTTCAAGGGATAAAATGCCTAGAATCTATCTTACCATGATCTCGTAGTGTAGAGCCTGGGATTTGGGGATCAGGATGGAGACGTTAAGAAATGGAAAGACGTTGCTTGTGAGACAGTTTGGGGTGTCGCCGCTGGGCTGAATATTGAGAGGGAAATGTTAGTGGGACATCCAGGTGGGATACAGGACCTGCAGGGTGACGTGTCGAACCAGCGCTGTGGAGAGAGATGTCAAGTCTGTATTTATCATGTGATCCTTGAGAGGTGAGGCTTGAAAAGCTAACAGAGACAAGTGTGTAGAGGGAGGAGGAGGCCTGAAGACCAGCCTTGTAGGACTAAAGCTATTTAAAGAACAAAAGAAGATGGGTCTGTTAGGTGAAGGAAAGAAAGATCGTAGTAGCTTAGGAGAACAACTGGGAAAACCGGAAGTGGAGGCAGGCAGAGTCTGGTCCGTAGCAACAATAAGGATTGGGGAAGAGTTACTTGATCTGTTATTTATGGGATCACAGTGATCTTTAAAAGATCAAAAGCAGTATTTTAGTAGCACAGAACAGGCAGTAGCTGGGTTGCAGTACTAACATAGCAACCAGCGTTCTGTGTGGTGGGCACCACATCCTAAACTCATTAAATCTTGCCGGTAACACTCTGGGGTGAGTAGAATTGTATCCCCATCTCACGGATGAGGCCTGCGAGGCCTCTTCTTCAGGATAGATACTATTATCTGTTTATAGATGAGGAAACCAAGGCACAGGGGTCGGGACCCCTTGTCCCAGCCCACGTAACAACTGCAGAACTGGCACTTGGACCCAGCCAGCCTGGCCTGAGTACCTGGGTTCTTGACCTCTCCAGCACGCCGTGGTGGGGATGCATGGAGATGATGCACACTTTCTTTTAAGATGTTTGGTGGAGGGAAAAATACCTGAAGAGAAGGAGGACTCAGAATGTAGGTGACAGTGTTGGGAGTCCAAGAGGAAATGCAGTCACGGTGGCAGGAGGGAGGGAAAACAGAAGGCTACAGCATGAAGGGATCTGGAAATAGAGACCACTGCACTTGGCACGAGACGGCCACACGTGCACGCGCAGCAGTGCCCTGGCTCGCTGTCATCTTTGGCCATCGGCTCAGACGGTCGTGCCAAGGGCAGCAGCAAGGGTCCAGTAGCCCAGAGGGAGGCTTGGAAGCTGCTGGAATGAAGACCAGGCAGCACCATGGACAGAGGGCAGACGAGATGCGCTGTCGTCAGCAATGACTGAGGCCTTTGCTTTCTCTTGTGTCTTTGCTCTTTTAATTTTTAGAGTTCTCTCTTGGGGAGGGAAACCTGGGTGAAAAGTGTGTGTGTGTGTGTGTGTGTGTGTGTGTGTGTGTGTGTGTGTGTGTGTGAATGAGGCAAGCTGTCGCCGATGTTGCACGTTAAAACAATAACATTCTCCACGTCAATGGAGGTTTACTCTGGGCACTGTGAGTGGGGCCATTTTTATGTAGAATGATGACAATCTTTGTGGTTAGGATTAAAGACAGCTCTGGAAACCTCCTGCAAAGGAAATCACTGCTGACAAAATGCAGAAATTATATTTTTGACCCTTCTCTCATTCACAGGATCACCTAAAGAGCGTCTGCTTTGACTCTGAAGACCAATAAACAAAATGATTTTCTCTCTACGAGTACTTTTAATTGCTGAACTAATCTTATATATCTATCACCGAGCCAGGTTAATTCAACATTTCCAAGTGCAACCCTTCTGTTTAGGACAGGTGTCTTAATTGAATTAACCAATAATTTTTGCAAGTAGAAGTACAGAAGCATAACTATCAAATTTGCTAGATGTTCAACTCTGTTGATTTGCATATTTGTTAGCGACAACATGAACAAATAGTTTGTATGTGTGTATTCTGCGGTGAAAATAATGAAACCACTCTTGGAAGTAGCATTTCCTAAAGCGTGTTAGTACATGCTGCCTACAAAGGACGTCAGTGCAATGAGATTGGAAAAAAATGTTACATAAAATGAAAGAGTTTTGTTTCTGTAGGAGGTTCAGGGTCCTGGAATGGGGTAACATACACCTCACCCGTCGGATACACTGGGCTCTGCTTCCAAACGCTATGTGGCATCCGCATTGTACAAGAGGAGGATCGCAGGGCACTAATGTTTTGAGAAACACATTTGGTAAAATGCTATTTAGAGCTGTCTTAGCAATAGGTTGGTCTCGCTTTTTTTTTTTTTTAAATACTAGTCATTCCATTGTACAATGAAGAATGAAATACAGGCAGAAGAATGAATGAGAGAGACATATGTTTTGATTTTTATCTCTCGTGTCTGTGTTTCCAACTCTGTCTCTGTCTCTGACTCTATCTCTGTCTCCATCTCTCTCTCTCTTTCTCATACACACACACCAATAATATTCTTTTTAGTAGCGTACAATAAACATGCAAACCTCATTTTCCCCTTTTTATCACAGGCATATTGACAGGCTTGCTACCCTTCAGAAACTATACGGTCACTCTAACTGCTTGCACTTTGGCTGGCTGTACCGAGAGCTCACACGCGCTGAATGTCTCTACTCCACAAGAAGGTAAAGTAATTTCAAAGGTCTTGACTTCCACATTTCAGTCATGAATAATAAAATAGGAGAGGAACTAAATGCTGCAAGACCATTTGCTGGAAAACCCCAGCCTAATTCGATGACAAAGTGCATTGCTAGGCCATAATCGCTCCGTTTTTGGGGGGGGTGTGAAAATGAATCAAACTCCATACCCTTTAATGACATGCATCTTTAATAGCTGTAATGCAGATTAATGGGCTTTTTAATTGCTGTTACATTGTTCATGCAAGAGCCCTGTCATTAATATGAAGCATCTGAAAGATTAATGAAAGCTTCCTCATTTTACTATGGCTCAGAAGTAAATCCAGAGACAGTCTGACTAAAAAGAATTGATTGTATGGCTCAGTATGAAATCAAGAACCAAACGGTTGATTTTCCATGGTCTCTTTGAACGGCTCGACACCAGCACAGGCAACAATTATTTCAGTGAGGTGGACCCTCCGGACGCCAGGCGAGGCGTTAGTCATCAGGGCTCTGTTACCCCCGACTTCAGACGCACTTTTGTCATGCTTGGGACTTGCGCACTGTTGGCACAAACGGGTGCCGCGGAAAGGGTGGTGGGAAGGCCGTGAGGATGGACATTTCAGTGCTGCCCAGGGGCACTGTGCTCGGGCATCAGAACGTCCCGTGGAGGAAGAACAGCTCTCAGAACGTCGGAGCCTTTGTCTCTCCGGGGTCCGAGGGAGCTCGTGTCGCTCCTACTGTCTGGGTGTAAAGGAGCCAAAGCTCAATCGTTAGGGGGAAAGAGTCAGTCTTTCTCTTCCTCAGTAGCCACCCGCCCCTTTTCCCTCTCTTCTTCCCAGGCCAGGCCTTTTTCTTTCTTTTTTTTTTTAACCCTCACCTGAGGATATTTTTTCATTGATTGTTTTTAGACAGAGTGAAGGGAGGGAGGGGAGAGAGAGAGAAACATCGATGTGAGAGAGACACACTGACTGGTGGCCTCCTGCATGCTCCTGACCGGGACTGGGACTGAACCTGCAACCCAGGTACATGCTCTTGACTGGAATCCAACCCAAGACCCTTTGGTCCTCGGGCCGATGCTCTAACCTCTGAGCCAAACTGGCCAGGACTTCTCAGGCCTCCTTTGAGATTGTTGCGCAGGTGCCCCTGGCACAGAAGGTACGGGAGAGAAGGTCAGTGCCCAGAGGGTGACACAGTGGCAGAAAAAGGCCTTTGTCACCCCCTTCTTGTCTCCTTCATTCTTGATGCTTTGCAGCGGCCCTAACCAGACACCCTCCCCTGGACTCCACCCCCAGTGACTCATCTTCAGTGTGTTCTCTAAGCTCTCTGTCTAGTCCACTGAGAATCAGGTTTCTTTTACTGAGTCCTTGAGCCTGCTGGACACGCGGTCATCATCTCAAGTCCTTCCACCTGCTGCTGTGCGGACAGATCGTCCCCGCTCTCGTCCTGTCTCCTCCACCGCACCCTTGTCCAGGTTGTCCCTGGTACCCCTCAGCTCGACCTCGTAGCTGTACCCCAGAGAGATTCCTCCTCCTCCAGTTCCTCATTGCTTTTCTGGGATTTAAGGAATTCCCGATGTCCAGTTTTCCTTCCAATTTATTGGCACTCTGGCCGGGTAGCTCAGTTGGTGAGAGTGTCGTCCTGATACGCCAAGGTTGCAGGTTTGATCTCCAGTCAGAGCACATACAAGAATCAACCAGTGAGTGACAAATAACTAAGTGGAGCACCAATTGATGTTTCTTGTCCCCCCTTCTGCCATCTTCCCTCTCTCTCAAATCAACAAATTATGAAAATTAAATTTAGTGACACTTGACCAAACCATAGGTATGTTTAGGATCAGTGGTCAAGAGCTTTTATTTCTGCCCTGGCCAATTTTGCTCATTGGTTAGAGCATCATCCTGAGCACCAAAGGGTCGTGGGTTTGATTCCCGGTCAAGGGCACAAACCTGGGTTGCAGGTTCGATACTTGGCCCCCAGTCAGGGTGTGTGCGGGAGCCACCGACTGACGTGTCTCTCTCACATCGATGTTTCTCTCCCTCCCTCCCAGACTCTCTAAAAATCAATGGAAAAAATATTCTTGGGCGAGGATTCACAACAACAACAAGTTTTACTTCCCTCTGGCTCGAGCTCCTTGACCCTTACAGAAAAGGAACAAACCCCAGTTTAGAAAAGACTGGCACACAATGTAGTTTTCATATATAATTAGTTAAATTGCTTCTGTTCTTTGGCCGTGTCTGTGGTTACGCATATGCTCCTTATATCTGCTACAAACCACGCTCGCCAGCAGTGCCCATCTTAGATCAAAAGCTCCTGGAGGGTAGGAACTTCATCTGTTTATTTTGCTGTAATTGGCACAACCCTCAGGTAGAGATCATGGGTTAATAATACTTCCGATGAAGTTATGCGTCAGTCAAGTGAACCGAGTTTCCTTCCCATCCATCACCGATGCAAATTCTCATAAATTCAGGACAGTTATTTAGTACTATTCCTAAAGCAATTACTGACAAGCTGCCCACGAATCAGAAACGTTCCTATGCATGGGTTTTCAGGGTTATTCCATGATTTATTGGCTTGGGTCTGAAAAGTTTGCATTAAAAAAAAGTAAACAAAAATTAGACTCTCTAAATCTTTTTCTCCCCGCAGCCCCACAAGAGGTTCAGCCACCAGTAGCCAAATCCCTTCCCAATTCTTTGGTCGTCTCCTGGAGTCCACCCAAAGAAGCGAATGGTGTTATCACTCAGTACAGTTTATATATGGATGGGGTACTAATCTATTCCGGCCGTGGAGAGCAATACACAGTCACGGGTAAGACTCCTATATGTATCAATAAGGAATTATAGTCTGCATTAGAATACTATGTATAGATTTAATGTAATTGTAGAGTGTGTGTGTCTATATATGTGTATTTCTGATAACAAAATTGTTAGCTGAGAATGTGATTTTAAAAATTAGGTTGGTAATTTTTGCTTCCTGTTAAGCCACTAACATTCCATGATTTGTTTAGTTACATCACACTTCCTGTGGGGCCAAAGCTGAGAAACTGAGAAAGGGTTCCCATTGCTCCCCCTCCCCCGCCACCCACGTATCACTCCTTACCCAGGCCCTGTTCTGATACAGCTCTGCCCAGGTGCAGAGGGGGCCTTGGAGCTGTAGCCACACAGAGCTAAGTGTGTGACTCCTCCACGTCCCCCCATCACAGGATGAAGCTGGGACCCAGGCGGTCCCCGCCATGTGGCTGAGTCAGTGATGTCATTCCAAACACATCCCACTGTCCCGTGAGTGAACCACCTTAAGATCCACTTGAATGTGGACTAATCTTAAGACTCTCATTTTTGACTCGGTGGCATCTGAATTTTAGACTCTTTGAGAAGAAACTTAGTTATTGATGCCCAGGTCATATTATAAAGTGTAATGGCACTGAAGAAAAGCGAATTGTTGAAGACCCTGTGAAACACAGGAGGCCGATGTTATGTATGTCGTCTTATATTCGAAACCACGTTGATCAGGGGACTCGCTCAAAGGGGAGGTCACAAACTCAGAGAAAGGGTGAGCATAAAAGTTCGGATGCCCAAAGCTGAAAGCAAACTAATGTCCACTAACTATGCATTTTATCTTCCTCTCAAGCACAATATATGTGTATATTATAATATATAGCATATCTGTTATGTTATAATGTTATAGTGTATGTTATAATCTATAATACAATATAGTATAGCAGGTTCTAATATATAACATAATGTTATATTTTAGACTATATAACATGTAATAACAAAAATATATTTGTTAATCATGGGGTTCTATATTTTATGGTATTTTATACACTGTATTTGACTCTCAGGTGAGACATCATTAATCAAACATTGATTGATACAAACACAGGCCGCCGATGTTAAATTCTCCATGAAAGCTTCCCTCAAGTTAGAGTCAGAGACAGGATTGATCACCTGCGTGTTCACTCTACACGAATGACAGGTGTGCAGGCTGTAACGGAATATCATCTCTCCTCTCTCTCGTGCTTTTGATTTTGTGGGGACACACGTGGATGCAGATGTGGGGTGCTTGTGGACAGGGCCATGCCTTTCATCCGGTTGCATTCTCAGGGTTGACGTTTTTGTGTCCCTGGAATCTGAGACCCTTCAAAGGACAAGAATCGTTGCTTTTCTGTGTTGTTCATTACGGTTGGATAGAATTCTGTGGTGCTTATTGTTCGAGGTAGGTATTATCAACACCCCATTTCACAAACGAGGAAACTGAGGCAGAACAAGAGAAAGTAACCTCCTCAAGGTCAGCCAGCCTGTGATTGGCAGACGTTGATGCCAATTCATCCATTCTGGCTGTGGTGAGGGAATGCAGTCTTCAACAAGTTGCTTAGCTTCTCTAAGACTTCGTTTCTGGCACTGTAAAATGGAAACAACTACAATTTTCAAGATTTTTCAGAGACCTGGAGCTTTATATACAACACACAGCAGGTTCTGAGCACTTAGTAAAAAGAGGAATCATGATCACTTCCTGATGAATGCAGTTCATATGGAAAACATTAATTGTGTCCTAGCAATACCTTAAGACATCATTTTAACTACAAATGGTAGACCACAGAAATGAAAACCATGGAATGAACTTGACACATGGACTAATAATTAATACACAAGGCGTGTCTTAGGGCTCACACGGGTCATCGTGCATAATGGGATATTGCAGCCCAAATGGACCTTTCCTCCAGGAAGCCCTCCCTGACTCCCGGGTGTGAGTTAGGCGTGCCCCCCTAAGCTCATCGGATGCCGCTGTGCGTCCCTTTTATGCTTTGCATGTCTTAAATGAGGCTGCTTGTTTACTTTCGCGATTTGCCTACAAAACCGTGAGTGCCACGAGGACCCGGCCAGATCTGCCTGGTTTATCCCTGCATCTGCAGGACCCGTCACGGAATGGGTATAGAAAAAAGGATCGAAGGAGCGAGTGAATGAGGTCAGATGGCGGCTGAGGACAGAGCAAGAAGACAGCAGAGGGGCCTGGGTGGTGGCAGGTCTCAAACTGTGGGCCTTGAATATTTCCAAAAGGTGCAGAATGCCTCAATGTGACACTGTGCAAAGCCAGAAAGAGAGCCTGGGGTTAGGAGAGGGGCCAGAATCCACATGGATTTCCAACACTGCGTACAGACTGACACGGATTCTGTATTTGTGGGCTTGCATCACCTGAAGAATCTGCATCTGATTATCTGTATTTGACTAGCAGATGAGACATCACTAATCAAATACGGTGACTCCAGTATCTGCAATGAAAGATCATGGCTACCATGACCATGGTGGATCAGGACAAAAGACGCCCCAAATAGCAAGTAAAGGAAGTGGAATAATGCGCACAACCACCTTCTAGATACAGTGGTCATAGGTCCTTCAGTGCTTTTCATTCCTTTGTAGATTTTGAGAAATTGTGTCTCCTTATCACGCAACTTTTTTGCTCTGTAGCCCTGTTGACTTCTCATGAGCAACTCAATTTAATGTGGCCAACTCCCCAGTTGGCTGAAGACGCAAAGCATGCTGGGACTGCTCTGTTGGCCACAAAGGGGAGAAACAGAGCCGAGAACGTTATGATGGGTTCAACATTGTGTGTGTTGCTCTAATGTCACAGCTAGTAAATCTGAGGCCAAAAGAAGCCAAGAACCTCTGGGCAGGGGTAGGAGGGAGAGATCGAAGGCTGGATCAGTTGGGTCCCAGAAGACAAACTTTCAATCTCCACGCATTCTACTCACTGAACACGTTTGCTTTCATTGTTCCTCACAGCAGCTGTGCAAGGGAGACAGGAGGCTGATTACGGCCCGCAGAGCCCCTGGGCTCATCTTCCAGGGCTGCCCTAGGAAACACCACAGGCGTACACAACAGAAGTGTTTTTCTCACCGCTCTGGACACAGGAAGCCTGAGAGCGAGGTGTTGGCAGGTTCGGTTCCTCTCGAGGCCTCCCCGCTTGGTTTGCAGACACAGCTGCCTTCTTGCCGTTCCTCGCGTGGTCTTTCCTCCGGCACACGCCCCTGGCGTGTCTTCTCAGAGGGACCCTGTCCTGTCGGATGAAGTCCCTGCCCTGCGACGTCATCTCATCTGAATCGTCTCTTTAAAAGCCCAACCTCTAAATATAGTCCCATTGGAATGTAAGGCTTCACCCTGTGGTTTGGGGGGAACACAAGTCAGGTTGTCCCAGTGCCTTGAAGGAGTGTGTTTTCTACTGTGGGCACAGGCTGCATTCTTGCTTTGCCAGAGATGCTCCAATGGCGTGAGAGTGGAATAAAGTGGCTTTAAGATCCCCGCGCACTCTCAGATGTTAGACCTGTGATGTGTACGACATTCCGGTCCTGGAGGTCTTCAGGGGTCTCCTGTCCACTAGCGATCGCAGAGGAGACAGAATGGGGAAGGGATTCTGTCTGGATGAGCCGGGAGAAAGCTGAGACAGGAGGCTGCTCTAGCCGTTGGGACTGGCTTTAGCCTCTGCACGCACGTTCAGTACCTGCCACGTGTCATCGTAACGTGTGCCTGTGATGCTGTGGACGCTCGCTGCTTGTCTCTGTCTTTGTGACCGGATATTGTTTGCACACGAATGGTTTGCGGGTTGAACTTCTAGTCGTGAGCGCCGATGCTGTCAGCAATAGTGAGAGTTGGGGGCCCCCAAATGGACTTGGACAGTGTGAAATGTCAATTCAGAAAAATGACTGAATGTAAGACACAGTCAAGCTAAAAAATGATAACATTTTAAGTTATAAAAATGGATAAATGCTTACTGAAGGTAATTTAAAACATACAAATATTTGATACCTGATCACCCTACCACACTGGTAGAAACTCTTAAAATTTGATATCCCTCCTAATACTTTCTTAATTTTCAATAGCAATAACATATATTTAATGTATACTAACGGGATACTCTCATATTCCTTTATTATGACTATATCCAACATCATTAAGTGTTTTCCTAAAAATATTCTGAAATATTGTTAATAAAATAATATTCCATCTTATGAAAGTATAATACCTTTTGATCAATTAAATAATTCAAAAGTTTCTAAATTATCTCTTTGTTAAATACATGGTGATAAATATTATTATACATCAATCTTTGTTAGAGTCCTAAAAGGGGAACAGTTAAAGATAGTGAACTTTTGGAGAATATTTTATATACACTTTGCACCACATTTCTTAGAAAAGTTCATCAGCAATGAATGTCATATTCTTTTACCTTTGATCATTTTGCACGTGAAAACTTACTTTTATTTGCATTGTTAGCTACTAATTATACTGAATACTTTTCTGCATGATTATTAGCCATTTATATTTACTTTAATTTATCTGATCCCAGTCTTGATGAGCAAAAACTCAATGGAGGGAGGAATAAATTAAAAACTTGTTCAAGAGTTACATTTCATATTCTGCCTTTTCTGGTGACAGTCATTTGCACTTTTATAAATTCTTTACCTCCTACACTATCAAAATTTCCTTGATAATTTGGCTTATGTTCCCCTCCTCAATGTTCAAAGGGTCAACATTTTTTTTTCCTTAGTCCTACTTCATTTATTGTATCTCCCTCTTAGGTTTCTGTATAGAACCAACATTATTCTGTGATGCGTAGCAAATGGGGTTGGCAACCATGGTGGACGTAGGTAAATGTAAATGAAATGCACTTCAATTCAGTTGCCACTTAGCATCTAGGTGGTTTGAATTTTTTTTCCTCCTTCTCTTAAATAGGAAGCAGTAAAAGTCAAAGGCATGGCTGCACCTTGAGTTAGTACAAAATATATTTAAAAATGCACACAGTTCAAATTTTTT